TTGTTTCATACCAGAGTTTACTGAACAAATAGAGCAAAGGCCCCCCAAAATTATAGCATTGTCTTAGTCCCCTACTTCCTACTACTACACACATTTTCTGAGGGCAAGTCTCCTTTGGCCTGTTGCAAGCTTTGGAAATATGCCTCCGACACCAGGAACAGAATAATTTTGGTGCTTTTTTTTTTATGTAGCTAATCAATATTTACTGGAGAAAGATCTTCACCTATACTCTTCATTACACTCAGGAATTAGAGAACCACTGATTCTCTGATTCGCTTCTTAAGGCCCCTGAGATGAGAGATTTGCTACTTGTTATATGAAATCCTTCTGCCTCCAAAAGATTTCAGATTTCACACAGTGGATAAATCAAAGGGGTTTCTATGCTGCTTATATTAAGGTAGCCTTTTGTTGAAGAAACATATGTTAGAGTTTGAGGAGTTGGGACTTTGTGAAAAGATTAAGTGCAGTTTGAAATCATGGATTTTAGACATAGTATTGCATGAAAAGCTTTAGTCCACTATGTAAGAAAATTTTTCTCACAAAACCAAGAGCCTTACATCTACAAATCAGTAAGTTGATCGGAAAGCATTTGTTCCCACCTGCTGGCACACAGCCTAATGCTACGGCCACATGACCCAAACAAAACCTCAAGGACCTTAATTTGGCCACACTAGGATCAAAACGTGGTGTACAGAGAGGGCAGCCGAACTGGGGACTTTCCCTGAGTCAGAGATTTGAAAACAGAGAAAGGAAATGGAGCCCAGCTCAGATGATATTGCACTCCTCTAAACCCTTCAGTGGGTCCCCATTGCCTACAGTTTGATATTCAGGATCCTCATTGGGCCTTCCAGGACTCTTACAACAAGTTCCAACCTATTTTTCCTACTACTCTACTGATTCCTTGCAGTATACTATGTTCTAGTTGAACCAGGCTATTCTCTGCTCTCTGAGTACAATCATGTATTCATCTCCACACCTTCGTATGAGGTGTCTCTTCCCCTGAAATGCACCAACCCTCCTCCCTACCACCATCCCATTTTAAGTGTTGCCTCTTCTCTAAGGCCTTTCCTCATCATTCCCTAGACCACTTCAATTGGATGTGGCCTCAACTGCCATGAAACTTTTGACCTTGTGTAACTCACCCATGGTAATTATTTTCTGAATGGTGTGGCAGTGACTTGGTACTCTTTTTCCTTGCTCTCAACCTACATTAGCTGTGTCAAATGTTGTGGTAGGGGCCTAGGACACAAAAATGAATATAAAGTCAAGGTTCGTGCCCTCAGTGGACTTGCAATCTAGTAAATAACACAATAATATGACAGAAGGCTACACCTAGTGCAATGGAAGCCCAGGCAAGGGAAGAACTTACTGACCAGGGAAATATGAAAGAGATGATCACACTTAAGTTGAGTTTTGAAGAGAAATTTGTTCATTGGGCAAAAAATGAACAGCAAGGGAGGACTCTTCTTGGTAAAAAAAAAAAAAAAAAAAAAGGACATTATATGCAATAGTGCTTAGCTCAGGGTGGAAGATAGGCCCTCAATGTTTATTGAATTTGTTCAATAAACATTGAGGACCTATCTTCCCCCAAAATTATAGCATTGTCTTAGTCCCCTACTTCCTACTACTACCCACATTTCCTGAGCACCTACACAATTTCCATCATTCACACCAAACCTTATAAGCTAGTCATCACCAGGCTCATTTTATAGACAAGTAAACTGAGCCTTCCAAGACCCCAAAGCTATCAAGAGACAGAGCCCAATCTGAGTTATTTATATTATAGTAATATGCTAATGAATTCAACTTTAAGAAGTGACTTGTAGAACAAACTCTGGGCTCTCTGCCTTTAAGCCTAGGCGGACCATTCTTCGCATCCCTCCAAACCCAACAGGCCTCTGATAAAGTGTAAAGGGTCAGAAAAGAGAGAAACAGCTGAAGACATGCTCCACACAGATTCTGTGAACAGCAGGGTCCTGAATCTCCCTATAAACCTGGAGTTAGTCCTCTCAGGGCATTTGGCCTTCGTGGCCCCAGACAAGGGCCCTTTGTCTTAATTACAAAAGATAACCTGGACAGAGCTACCCAAATGTCACCTCAGGTCAAGTCAGTCTCATGAAAGCTCTCCTAGGGCTCAAAAAACTGAATTGGTTGTCTGGCATTCTAGGACACACTATTTCATTTTTGATGAAGTTCTTACTCTCCTTTTATTTGTCTGATCATTTCCTCAATTTCTCCCTCCCTAGTTTGTGCTTTTTCTGTAATACTCCAATTGGGCACATGCTTTTTTTCCTCCTAGCTGAGACTATTATATCTTGCTATTGTGATGTTCCTTTTCCATTGAAAGCAATCAAAAATGAAAATCCACATTTCAGAACAGTTTCTATTAAATATGCACCTTTTTGAGGATTAAAAAAAAAAGAAGCACTCTCTGAGGGCTGATTTTCAGCTCTGTGTATCACCTGAAGATCAGATATTGGGGGAGATCTCTGCTCCTCACAGGCCATTTGCATTTGGTAATTGAGAGTGATGGCAGAAAGTCTGGAGTAGCAGCAACTTATTTTAAGGAATGCCCTAGTCTAAAGCATTGCTCATCAAAGTGTGGTCCTTGAATCAGTAGCAACTGCTTCACCTAAGAGCTTATTAGAAATGCAGAATCTCAGGCCCCACCCCAGACCAAATGACTCAGAATCTGCCTTTTAACAAGATCCCAGGTGATTCGTATGCACATTAAAGTTTTAGAAGCACAGGTCCAGCACTAAGGTGAATTTGCTTTCATTGCTTTCCTGCAGCTTCCACATGAGTTTCTTTCCAAAGATAGAAAATCTCTGTACAATTAACTCCATAGGATACCCCACCACCACCACCGTTCCCTGCCCAAACTGTTTATTCATAGAGGAACCATGAAATGATAAATATTCTTCCAAAAATCACACTCTCAGCCTGAAGGAGTTCAAGACGAAACAAAGCTCATGGGTAGCCTTTCTGCAAATGAGTACATACTTAAAAAGAAAGGGCTCTGAATCTGAGATGTATGGGCAACCCTTACTTCCACCCTTTTCTCTGATGCTTTGGAAATTTTTGCTTGGCGTGTTCCCCTCTGAGAAAGGAGGAAACAAGATATGCTATAGGAATCTTACAGGTGTCTGACATGAGAGCGTGGGTGGAGGGTGGGGGGTGTGGCAGGGGATGCTTTCCCCTTTGAGGAGGATGCTCTGTAAACACAAACAGGCGGAACCCAGAACACAGCCTTCAAATCTCGGTTGTGCTCAGACCTCACACATCCAGTAACAACAGTCAAGACGATGTAACTGAATCTTGATTAATCTGTCATCTGTGTGGGAGAAATGGACCAAGAGGATGGAGAACCACGTGGTTTAAGGGAATAAAAGCCAGATCTGGGAGGCAAGACAAGAGGAGAGGAAATGATCCAGATCCGCTCAGTGCTGCTCTACCCATCTATTTCTACTCATCTGTGAAGCAGGGCAGGGGTCCAGAGCGAGACAGAGGCTATGACCAGAACCCTGGTGAGCCACACAGGTGGCCTCACCTTTGACTTTTTCCTCTATGAAGAGGAAGCCTGTCTCAGACATTTCTATGAAAATTAAGAGCACCCAAAAAGTTATCCTTATTTTAAAAAATTAAAATTTAAAAAAAAAAACTGGTCCTCATTCAAAGCAAGTGTTTTCTCACTAATTTTGACAGATATGCACATCACAGTAAATGCCTTTACACTCTGGACAGCTTTCAGAAGTCTAAGTGAAATGCCTGAGTTATCGATTACTCTGTGTTCAAGCACAATTTGTTATTCCCCTCCTCCACTTTTGCTAATTTTTCATTCATTTTTTTTTTCCATTGTCACCTTCGAATTCTCTGAAACAGCAATATTTCAAAACACTAAAATGGTTTATGTATGCCGATCAATACTTGCTTTAAACCAATTATAATTTATTTATATGTTAACAGTATTTCAGTTCCTTTTACCATGTCCACATCAGCAAGCTCTCAAGAAAATTTGCAATGGACAGGAATGATGGACAGCAATGAGCAGTGGAGGCAGGGAGATGGAGCTCTAAAATTCAGACGAGAACTCCATCTGTCTTTCTCTACCACAACCAAAAGATAGCCCCCTCCCCCAGAGCCAAATATGTTATAGATTAGCCACCCACGGAGACTAAGGCTATCAACTTTATTTCAGCTAAGTTCTACTTCATAGAAGAGCAATTGACTTTACTCCTCTAAATCAGACCTAGATAAGCAAAGCAATCTTCCAGAAGCACACCTGAAGGAAAACCTCTGCATCCCCTCCCAGCCCCCAGCATGCACAGGCATGCTTGCACAAACCACCTCTCAAGAAAGGAGAAAGTTAACTTTCAAATAAACCTGCCCCTCAGCCAGTCTGGCCATGTTTTCAGACCCTTCACATTCTCAAAGGTGGCTCTTGCAACACTTGCCTAAATTCAGAGGCTGAAACCTGACCTCTGTCTGCTGAGGACATGGACAAGGGTCAGAGGTCCACACATACACACATACACCACTTCTCTCTCTCTCTCCTTCTCTCTCTCTCCTTCTCCTTCTCTCTCTCTCCTTCTCCTTCTCTCTCTCTCTCTCCTTCTCCTTCTTCTTCTCTCTCTCTCTTTCTCTCTCTCTCTCTCTCTCTCTCTCTCTCTCTCTCTCTCTCTCTGTCTGCCTGTCTTGGCCAAACCGAGAATAATGGCTCAGGCTTTATTGTCTTTCCTTCAGAGAAGCCAGGCTGGGCGGCTGGTGAGCAGCTCCAGACAGAATATGGGTGTGAGAATCTTGTGCGGGTCCCACAGAGGAATTTTCTGGGAACTCCAGGGGTTTTGCAGAAGGGGGTTCCTAGGCGAGAGGCCCTCGCGTTCGCAGGTAGCCCTGAAGTCTGCGCGTATGGGGGAGGGGTGCCGGGCTGTCCTGCCAGCCAGGCTTCCCCTCCCCGCCGGGCCGTCCCGAGGCCCTCGCGTCCCCGCGGGGTCACTCACCGCCCGTGAGCTGTGCAGGGCCGAAGCACAGCGCCAGCTGAAACCACAGGATCACGGCCAGGAGTCTCTGGGGGGACTGAGGCTGCTGCTGCTCTAGAAATCCATCTCCATTGCTCGGGTTCATTCCATGATACATCTTTCATCCACAGAGGGCATCCGGCTTGCAAGAGTCTGCAACCAGGAGCGGAGCACGACAGCACCCCGGGCGGCCAGGGCTCGGGGGCCACGCTCCCCCTCCTCCGCCCCAGGACCCGGCGC